ATACTGATACAGAAGCTGGTGTGTTATGCTGAAGGGCGGTTATACCGGCTATACTGATACAGAAGCTGGTGTGTTACACCGAAGGGCGGTTGTACCGGCTATACAGATACAGAAGTTGATGTGTTACACCGAAGGGCAGTTACATGTATACCAGCTATACAGATACAGAAGTTGATGTGTTACACCGAAGGGCCATTATACCGGCTATACAGATAAAAAAAGAAGCTCTGGTGTAATACGCCGAAGGGTGGTTATACCGGCTATACCGATACAGATACAGATGATATCTTACCTGCTGCAGGAAGATGGGCAGTTGTTGTCTCATCTGCTCCTGAAGTTGAGGGTTACCCTGGAACAGGGGGTTGTTACCGATGATCTGTGAGGCCATCTCAGGGTTCTGTCCCATCGACTGCATCATACTCTGCAAGGCAAATAGGAAATCTTCAGTTTGTGATCTTTTCTCTCAATAACAACTGAACGCTCTAGCCCGCTCAAATTTTTTTTCCGTCAGCCCAGGTTAATATGTGCTGTAGGTGCAATCCAGGGCATGCTACCCTGAAAAATTCTGGCTTTTCTAGTTGTCAAAAACACAATTTCCAACGTTTTAAAGAGGCAAATAAAGTTTAGAAAATTTTCTATTCCACGCAAATTAACTTTTGAGACAGTTACGCATTGTTAAACTTTATTTGTTGGACTTCTTTAGCCGAACCCTAAAAAAATTACTTAAAAAAGAAGAAAATCCCTACCTACTGACCCTATTTTTTTACCCCCTGGCAAAGTGGGTCAGTCAATAACAGATCAAACCATGCCAAAAGTCACACTTTTTGGCACGATTTTAAAAATATACATTCTTCTGTCCCTCATGCCAGAAAATTGGGCCTTTCTGAGCAAAATTTGCCTAAGAAAAAAAATTATTTAAAAAATAAGTCCTGAAATATATCGTCTGTGTACAGACTGCTCTCTCTGCGCAATAGCGAATTACTGGCCCCTCCCCAGCTCACCTGCATGTAGGGTGCCTGTAGCATGTTCTGCATGAGTTGTGGGTTTTCCACCATCTGTTGCATCAGACTCTGCATCCCCGGGGAGTTAAACATGCCTGACGTGGGAACTGGAACACAAACACACACAAATGCACGTTAAGAATGGATGTCTTTTTGGGGGTGTTCTGGGGTTCGCTTTAAACAACACTACACAGACACCAGGACCCTAGCCAGCTTAAATTTTTTTTCGTTCATCCTAGATTCATGATAAGACATGGGTAGGGAACAGCCATAGGGTGTGGTAGCGTCGTTGAAATCTATGGGGGTTTGGACTCGGAGGGACGCTAACCAGGACATTTTTTTTATTTTCAAGCCTTTAAAATGCAATTTCAGCATTTTGAGAGGAAAACATGGGGTTGACATTGATCGTTGGCGGTCCTTGGGATGTTTTTGCCCAAAACTTTTACTAACTTTGTCCGTCAAGGTTGACAGATAGGCTTATAAATTTTTCTGTGACACGTCTTAAAATTTCCATTATTGGACAAAAAATGGGTGCTGGCTAGAGCCCTGACAGACACTGCATGAGAAGGCATGTTTCTTTGCTTACTTTTTTTTAAATTTTTATATTTCAGTCCATACCATGGTATGGATGAAATATATTGTGTTCCCTCATGTTTCTCCTTCTTCTCCTGCCAAACAGTCAAAGGGATTCAACTCAGCCATCATTCAGCCAAATGACCTAAAATTTAGCATGGAGGTAGAGTGGGCAAATACCCCCAGACGTTTTTTTTCATTTTTTTGAAACATGCCTTTGAAAAAATTTTATGAAGGTTTTTTGAGGCATTTTTCGACAAAAAATGGATTTCTGGATCCTGAGCCCTGGTATTACAACCAAATGATCTGAAATTCAGTATAAGGGTACCTTGAACGTGTGTCTACAGAATATTAGTGACATATTTGGCATACACCACTTCCAAATGACTCATTTGGGGGACTTTACTGGCTATTTTCAGCAAAAAGTGGTGCGTAATGGCCCACAAATTTTATGTGCCTAAGACCTTCAAAATGTATCAAATCTCATCATTGTTAGTTTTTGCATACCTGTAATAAGATTAGTAAAGCTTTTGAGATTCAAAGTACTTGTTGTTGCATCTTTGTTCTCATATAGCTACTATTAAATTCATTTATTTGAGAACCTTTGCCAGTTTTGCACTGGGGTAAGTTTGGAATAGTCCACTTTTGCGTGGGAGGGAGATGGACTGAAATATGCTGTATTTGCTCCCAAGCAAATGTCGGCCTTTCTAGTATTTTATTTTTTTTTTATTCATTTATTACAATGCTTACATACATTTTGTACAAACATACAAAATACATAATGTGTGGAGGCTTACCCAGTTTACATCAACACGTTTTCTAGCTGTGAGCGTATATTTTGTTCACTAAATGTCTCATTCTGTAGTGTGTTGAAAAATATAATAATTAGCGGTCAACATGGCTTTGTTCAACATTCTTTGCTTACTTCCTCCAGGCAGACCTCCAGGCAGTCCCTGACCAGCCGGTGAGCTGGCTGTGGTACTGCCGGTGGTGGTGGTTGTACCGGTGGTGGTGGCGGCTGTGGTACTGGAGCCCTGCGGGGCCCAGGGGTTGGGCAGGGGTTCCCGGTTCTCCTGACCCTGCTGGGGGTTACTGGTACCTGTGGGAGGTGGGGGGGGGGTGGAGAACAGATCTGGTCAGGGGTTTTTCTAAACAGGTCGGCAGGTGCAGTTAAAAAAACATTGGTGAGTTTGCGGTACAGAAGTGACTGTGAAAACTGAGAACATAAAACCACCATGAAAAATCAGGAATTACAGTACATTGTGTCTTAAATCATGAAAGATGGTCATCACTATAGGTTCAACTGGTAACAAGAAATCAGAGATTCTAAACCTCTGAGAGTATGTAACGCGTCATGATCACAACGACTGCTGAAACTTTCCGATACATACATGTATATCACATTAACTGAACTGCAATGTTACAAGCCTCACTGGGTCAGTCTATTGAAGAAGACCAGAGTGACTGGTCGAAAGCTCTAGGTGAGAACAATCCTCTTTTGTGTTGCAAAAACAGTTTTACCTTCACGTCAAAATCTAACTACCAAAACAGAAGAACTTTCATGATTTCATAGTATATTTTGTAGGTGTTGACAAAATAAGTTTATGTCAAGGGAGATGATGTTGACCACTTACCCCCGCCCACGAGTGAGGCCCACGGGTTGTTGCCGAACTGTTCCTGTGCTGCGTTCATCATGGGTTCCTGGATGTCTGTGTACATGCGCCGCAGGGCGTTGTAACCACCTGGGATACTCTGGTGAAACATACGAAAGGAGTTCTTTAAGTATTGGGCAGCAAGCATAAGTGAAGAGTGCCCCTGTTCATTATCTTTACCGAAGGAAAACATACTGTTTTGCTCAGTTTTCTCTTCCTTTTCTTCTCCAACAGTGACCTCAATGACCGAAACCAATGTTGTGTCTGTCACCATGGTACCTAGTGTTGGGTTACATCATGTTGCAATTTTATAGCAGGAGGGACTTAGACCTAATTGTGACCAATTGTGATGTATCTGGAAATTGGTGATTCACTACGAACTCTGGGAAGAATAGGGGGGATTGCTGTTTTTGTTTACATCATAATTATAGACATGCAAATTATTTGAAGACATATGCAAATCAGCCAGTCGTCATTCGTTTTTTGCCTGCCACTTGCTGGCCATGACGAAATTAACACTAAAGGAGATCCTAAATCATATACATTCAAGCAAATCTTCATCGGTATAGCCGGTATAACCACCCTTCGGTGTAACACACCAGCTTCTGTACCTGTATAGCTGGTATAACGGCCTTTGGTGTAACATACCAGCTTCACAGGCACGTGGCACGGCGGCAGCTAGCTATATCACACCGAACGACTTGTTACACCTAATCTAATTTACTAATTGCAGGAGTTGTTTAAAGCTTTCTAGTGATGATGCCCCAACTGTGCTTGGTGGCAATGAGTTCCACTCTAGGAAAGTTCTTGGGAAATATGAGAATACAAACAAAGAAACAAACAAACAAAGGTTACCTCCAGGTTGCTGAGCGCCCTGTCCTGACTGCGCATCATCTCCTGGAACATGGCGGGGTTTCTGGCCAGCTCCATGGTCTGTCGCATCAACTCCGGGTTGTTCAACATGTGGGTGATCTCTGGGTTCCTCTGTTTAAGGAGTACAGAGACAAATATATAACAGCTTAGGCCACACCAATTTAATTTCTTGGTTGACGGATTCGCCCGCTTCATTTTTTTCTGATTTGCAAATAAAAATAAAAATTCAGAATCAACTGCAAAATGCTCCTATTTTGCCCTGAACAGTTGAAAACAGTCCCTTTCATCCTAGTTGTTACAGTTATTCCATCTTTCAATGCAGTGGTATCATTAAAAGTTCAAAATTCATTGTTTCAATTTTGAACCAGCCTGGTGTGTTGACTTCATGGCTCCTATCGTACCAATTTGGGCCATAATAGGATGCCGAGGCTGTTTTTCGGGAAGTATTACATGACTTGAACTTCAAGTCAACTTTATTTTGCTTAATACATGTATGTTCACTCCCAGGGGCAATGCAATTGCAAAGTAGACAGGAAATTTGGGTGACTTTTCCGGATCCAAAAGCCGGGACATGTGCCTGATAAACAACATTCTGATGTTGATTATTTTTATATTGTCTGAAAAATGTCCCAAAATGTTTTTTTAGTTGTCCCAGCCTAAATTTCAGTGGTCAGTGGCCACTGGCCGACCTTTAAATTCAAGCCCTGAATAGTAAAACAAGACTGGCAATGAAAACAAACATTGCCATGGCGACGGTGGTTGCTGTTAGGGTTATTGTTTGCATGGCACTGCCATCATTTCATGATTTTGAGGAAGACTTGGTATCTGTTAAGTCTAGACAGATACAGTGTACTCCCCCCGAGTGTATAGTGAACGAGCCCCAGGGTCACAGAAAGTAGGGCCATTTGGGGCAGAGAGGTCTTCCCAAGAGTTCCAGGAATGTGGGCATAGATGTGGGTCAGAGAAATGCCTGTGGACATTCCGCATGCCTGTGGACAAAATGCCTGTACCATTCCTAGAATTCTTGCAAACTGCACACAATACTGTACCATTAGGCTCCTCCCTAAGACGTCGCCAAAAAGTTAATTTCAAGCCCTGAATGATGTGCCGTACCTCCATGAGCTGCTGCATCTGTGGGTTACTGACGATGAGGTTCCTGAGCAGGTCAGGGTTGGACATCATACTCTGTACAAACGGGTTCTCCATCATCTGGGTCAGCATATCAGGGTTCCGCAGCAACTGGACATAAACAAACAAAACAGGCAATGAAAACATACATTGCCATGGCGACGGTGGTTGCTGTTTGGGTTATTGTTTGTTTGTTTATTTGTTTGAATGCAACAGTGCATAACAAGTGCCAACCAGGCAGCAACAAGGCTGGTAGCGGCTACCACTGACACATGTACATAAGTGCATAAATACAAGGCATATCAAAATACAATATTACTTAGTACGTACAAATTCAATTCAATATTATACAATAGCAATATACGATACAAAGTACATACAAATTCAATCAATACAGAAGCAATACAATATTATAAGTACAATACAAATCGATAAAATGATCAAAGTTGAAATGGAACGGTTGGAGGATTTTTATTTTCAATTGGTGTTCGGGTAATCAGGATAAGAGGCATTTGGCCTTGAATATGGAGATGGTGGCCGACCCTGTGACCTCGCTGGGTAAGCGGTTCCACAGTCGGGAGGTGTACGAAAGAAAACTGTCTCTGTAGATGTGAAGGTGATGAGCGTTCCGCAGTCGTCGCTGGGATGGCACTGCCATCATTTCATGATGTTGAGGAAGCCTTGATACCTGTTAATTCTAAACAGATACAATGCACTCCTCCCCTGAGTGTATAGTGAATGAGCCCCTGGGTCACAGAATGTAGGGCAGGCTTTTAGCTAGGGGGTGTCAAGGGTGTCTTTTGGACGCCCTGTACTGAAAATAATAAGAAATTGGACGCCCTACTTTTTTGTAGGACACCCTAAAGACGCCCTATTTTTTCCACTCCCAACCCCTGCCATGCACACATGCCTCCCTTCAGCCTTACTATGAATACAAAAATGATGGTTTACTGAAGGAAAAAACTCAAATTTACACCTGAAAATGCAGAAAGTAGTGTTTGAGAGCATTATGAATTTCAAAAAAGCCCCCCTAAAATCTTGCACTCAACATGTCTTCACTGTGCATAGCATACAATAAAAAAAAATGGACGCCCACCAAAAAAATCCTAGCTAAAAGCCTGATGTAGGGCATCAGGGTAGACAGGTTTTCCCAAGGGTTTCCAGGAATGTGGGGAAAACCGACCTGGGAGACACTCCACGCCTGTGGACAAAATTCTTGTGCAATTTCTAAAATTCTTATCAACTGCACACAATACTGTACCATAATAGGCTCCTCCCTGAGACGTCGCCAAAAAACACAAACATCACTACAAATCTTACTTCTAAGGGCTTGAAATATATTTTTAGCATACCTGCATGCGTGAACCTAGTGCTGTGTACCTAAACCCACATTTAGGTTCAGGTCCGGATTCAAGTCCAGAGGTTTACAAATGTAGTGTGAGTGAGGTTCAGTTCCGGACTCGTAAGTGGACCTTAACCGATGGCATATACAAAATTGCATTTTGGCAATGTTGCTTGGTCAAAGCTTTGGCCAAGCAACATGGGCCAAGCAACATGGAGGCTGACACTTGACCATGTGAAATTCTTCATTTAGCAGCACAGATTTTGCAATCTATGGAAGGTTTTAGGTGGTTTGGAAAGAAAAGGGGTATGACATGGGTTTTTTTTGTAATAAGTCTAGAATCAGTTCTTGACTTTTAGGTTTTTTGGACATTTCACCTTAACATTTTTACAAGTCCGGAACTGGTACAGCGAACCTAATCCAGACCTGGACCTGGATTTTCTATACAGGTACCCCCCCCCCACACACACACTGCATGTGTACATATAAGGTAGCAGCACACAGTATTAATGGGCGACCGGGGTCTATGACGTGGGTTACCTGTATAATAGAAAGTAGTGCAGCAAATCTTCTTGAAGGCTGGGTAGAAAGCCTGATACATGTACGAGTGTCAGCCAAATTAAATGTAAATTGTGCTGTGTGGTGTAGGAATGTATCAGGTTTGAGACTGTATGATTTGAATTGTGAAGGTTTTGCAGTTCTTGTATAAATACGCCGTCTTGCGCAACTGGCTTTCCGGGTGAGTCGGCTGCAGTTCAGGTCACGTCCGTAGAGGGCGATTTCAACGTGTATGTTACGAGCAGATACGCCGACAGGATTTTTTGGTTTCTAGATATTTTGTAGTTTGTACCTTCTTCTCAAACATAATCGATTCTCGTATTTGTGAAGTGCACCCTACTATAATTTTTACTATAGAAATCCCCATAGGGCGAAAACTGTGTTCTGCTACCTTCAATAAAGCCTCACCTCTTGCTGCATTCTCTGCTGCATCTCCATGAAGTTGGCTGACCCCATGCCCAGGTTGCCCATCCCGGTCAGTCCCCCCAGCCCGGCCAGCCCGAAAGGTGCTGCAGCTGGCGGCGGCTGGGCAGCGGCTGCAGCTGTAGTCCCAGGTGCAGTCCCAGGTGCAGTACCAGCGGCGGCTGCCGGGGGTGCCGTTGTGCTGGAGGCAGCTGGAGCAGAACTTCCACCACCCTGCCATTAAAAAACACACAAGGTGTACAGTCAAGCAGGGGACTTAGATAGTCTTAGCATTGTTGGATTAAAATATCGACATATCTGTTTTTTTTTTTTATTCATTCACACAGAAAAAGGTACAAGACTTGGTGGTGCCGCACTCAAGTGGAAAGCACTTATGTTTACGGCACCACTAAATAAATACATATAATAAAGAAAAAACAAACGCAACTTTAAGACAGGCAAAACAGTAAATACAGCAAATTCAAAAGCGCAAGTCCGGTTCCCCACCCAATGATAAATGATGGCAAAGAGAGGACACAATACATAGATAACACGGGGAAATTGAAATCTTTTAAAAACGTTCTGATGTGGTGATAAAGTTTTGGGTAAGTGATAATATATTGGAGTTGACAACTGATGAGAATGCGGGACTGCCACGGAGTAAAAGGTCAGTTTTTGCGTTGTCAGAAAGAGTTGTAAAATCTAGGGTGTGTCCTATGAGCCTGGATAGTTTGCCAAGGAGAGTATCTGTTGTTGTTACAGTTACTGTAACATCACATTGTGAATGGTTCATGTATGTGAAGGGGACTTGTTGGATAGACTTACTAGTAAAGCTAGGAATTTGTCCCTTACTAAGCAGGAAATAGTGTCTCCATCATAAATTTAAAACATTGTTTTTGGAGAATTCTAGACCCCCCAACAGTGGTCAAGTCTTTGGGATCCAATGCACCAGCTGCAATGCACAGCTTGTTATCCTTCTGTACCTGAACCCTACGCTGTGAAAAAAAAATGGTGAGAACCCTGACAGTATTCTGTGGGTTTATGTAACAATAACTGCATTCAAAAGCAGCCTAAGACAAAGTAAGAGGAAGTAAATAAAACATCTGTAGCACCAGGTACCTGCTGGGAGCCGACTTTTTGTCTGATGACCAGATGAACAGTCAGTCCGTCCTTAATTCCAATCTTCTCCAAGGTCTCATGGTCCTTCAGAATCTTCCCCGCAAAGATCAGACACAGTTGCTCAACTGGCTGCCCAAATTTCTGAGAAATGGCCTCCTTAAACTGAATAAAAAAAGAAAACAAATACTGTAATTCACTTTATGTTCACCAAGGTACAGGCTTTTAGCTAGGATTTTTTTTGTTGGGTGTCCATTTTTTTATTGTATGCTAAGCTTTTTAGGGGGCTTTTTTTTTATTCATAAAAATGCTCTCAAAGTCAAACAATACTTTCTACATTTTGAGGTGGAAATTTTGAGGAATTTGAGTTTTTTTTTGCTTCAGTAAACCATTATTTTTGTATTTATACTAGTAATAAGAATGAACGGAGGCATCTGACATTTTGGCAGGGGTTGGTAGTGGAAAAAATAGGGCGTCTTTAGGGTGTCCTAGCAAAAAGTAGTGCATCCAATTTCTTATCATTTTCAGTATAGGGCGTCCAATAGACACCCCCTAGCTAAAGGTACCAAAAGGTCGCAGTCTGAGAAAAATGGTGGTGTCCACGGAGCTATATCACATGTTCACGGTGGCAACTAATGCAGAAAAAAAAAACGTTGGCGAGTTAACAGTACAGTTATAAGTGACTGCAAAAACCGAGAACATTGAAACTTCAAAGTACCGTGGAAAAAATCAGGAACTACAGTACATTGTGTATTAAATCATGACATGAGAGGTTTTAAATCAGTCCTTAAAGTAAGTTAAACCTTATATATAATAATATGGCTTTTGACAGCATTGGCAACTAGGGAAGCCAGGTTTATGAATTTCTATGTACATACTGACTTATAGTATATACACAGAAAGTCATAAATCTAAATGCAGCTTCTTCAGTTGCTAAAGCTAGTTTTTTGCCAGTCTTGTCATTGGTCACCTGGCTACAACTTAGTCTGACATCATTTACATGAAGTTAGTAGTCACTAAAGAAAGAAAAATCTGCTATGATGATGTGGATTTTAGCTTACTCGTCGTTATACATAACTCTAGATTTGGAGTGATTCTGTTTGTTCTGATGTTACGTTAAAGGCCCATTAGGCCACACCAATTTAATTTCTTGGTTAACGGATTCGCCCGCTTCATTTTTTTCTGATTTGAAAATAAAAACAAAAATTCAGAATCAGCTGAAAAATGCTCATATTTTGCCCTGAACAGTTGAAAACAATCCCTTTCTTCCTAGTTGTTACAGTTATTCCATATTTCAATGCAATGATATCATTAAAAGTTCAAAATTCATTGTTTAAATTTTGAACTGTCCTGGTGCGTTGACTTCATGGCTCCTATCGTACCATTTTGGGCCATACTAAGATGCCTAGGCCTGTTTTTATTTTTTTTTCGCCCGCCCCAGCCCCGCTCCATTATTTTTCTAGAAAAATCCGTTAACCAAGAAATTAAATTGGTGTGGCCTTATGTAACTTTTTACGCAAAAACTTGAAATCTTCTAATTATACTATTTATAGTAATTTATACTAAATTTTGGTGTTATCAATAGTTACTATCACTTTTCAACGCATTTGTGTCGTTATTTCAAATTTTTTACGTATATTTTGTGCATTCAAACAGTCCTTATTCAGTTCCGGGTGCCACCGCATTTTCTTTTGCTGAATTTAAAATAGTTCTGGAATAGTAAAGAAAAGACTGGAAAATATACTTTTGGTATTGTCAAAAAGTTACATAATGGGGCTTTAACAACATACTTTTAGTGGTCACCAGGATAATCTTTCAGTGTTTAATACTTGTGAATCGTGATAATTTTTCGTTGGCCGGCCGGCTGCTAAGAATAAGATATTGCGTCAACATAACCGCATCATACTGTCACCACTTGTTAAAAAAACTAACAAAACGGCACCTCAGTCAAATTTCCACGCTAGCGAATGTTTTAAAAAGAAGCGACGCTATAAAAAAGAGCAACGAATTTTTGTACAAGTGTCTGAAAATAATGATCTGACTGCGATTTTCTGTCATGTCACGGCATTTTCGGAAGTAAAAGAAAATGGCTACGTATCCACATGTAGAAATCTCGGCAGTTTCTGACGAAAATAACCGACCAAAACAGACTTTTGAATGCAAAAAAGTGGAACAGTTGTGAGCATACTAACGTCTGTTATCGTTGAGGTCGCCTCAATTTCGACCGTCTCCTTGTCTTTTGGAGTTTTCACGAAAATTTTGATGAGTTCGCTTCCAGAATCTTCGGACTCCGCCATCTTGGTTAGGGCTAGTCTCGTGCTCTTGCATGACGGGAACAATTTCGAAGTTCATCAGAATTTTTTCAAGATGGGAGATTTTCAAGATCAATTCTAGGACAAAATGACGCTAACTCAAATATCATTGAGTAGTAATTGGCTTCATAGCCGAATAGAGATTTGTTTGATAGCAAAAGTCACAAGACAATACCTCAACTTTGACCCTTGAACCCATATTTGCCGCGAAAGTCAAGCATGGGCTCCGAGGTTTACCATTTCCCCAAACTGGAGTGAAAATATCATGATATCGCTCTTAAACGTGGGTTTTTAACAGGTTTTAATGTCACACCACGTTTTGTTGACGCCATGGACTGCATCTGCATCGCTAAAAAGGCTGTATTTCTTCTGGAACCGATTTAGTCCATTGTGTGAATCATGGAATATGTAGAAAGACTGCTGGCAAATTTGGTTGATGACATAAACCAAGGAACACTAACGTGGTACGTATGATTCATCGCCACCTTTGATCCAGTCTTCATCAAGGTTTATTTCAGATAACTTGAACAATGTCTGCAGCGGCCAGGCATCTGCCTCTGTGGGCACCTACCAGGTTGTGCACTTTTGTGCACCCTGTTCTGCAACGCCAACAAGCCCCCGCATTGCTGTATTGCACCTCTGCATTCCCAACCAGGATGAACCCCATAGACATCCAGATGCTCTCCAAACCCCTTCACGACCAGATCTTCCAACAGGAGCCCACTTATCCAACGGAGGACGTCGAAAGAAGCGTTCGTCATCTCAAGACGCACGACTTGTGGGGGAAGGAGACGTCCACTCTCCCAGAGGTCGACTTCAAGTTGCCGGACTTACTGGGCGAAAATATCGACGAACATTTTAAGGAAATAGCGAGACAGCAGAGTAAACCATACTTGGATGCCGCTCAGGTGCTGGCAAATAGTCGCCTTCCCACAATGCCTCGGGAGTGGAGGTGGTCCAGAGGATGGACAAGGTATGATGGGAAGGGTGATGTGACTGCTGTGGACTACCCTGATGAGGAGGCACTAGTGTTTGATGTGGAGGTGTGTATGAGTGAGGGAGACTTCCCCACACTCGCAACAGCAGCATCCCCCAATGCCTGGTAAGTTATGCCTTCAAATATAAGAGTTATCAACCAAGAATTGAGGTGTTCAAAAACTCGTATTTCCCCAGAACTATCGTAGACTGGAACTCGTTGCCACCAAGCACAGTTGAGGCATCATCACTAGAAAGCTTTAAATAACTCCTGTGCAAAGATTGAGTGTAACAAGCCGTTCGGTGTGACATAGCTAGCTGCTGCCTCGCCCAGTGCCTGCAAAGCTGGTGTGTTACGCCGAATGGCGGTTATTTAACCGGCTATACTCATACAGATACAGAAGTACAAATATGCCATACCATATACCCGGGCCTTGATAACAATTCAATACGGGTATTCTGGCCCATGTGATTACAACAGGTAACACAGAATTACACAGAATTACACAGAATAATTCAGACACGTTTTGCATGCACCAAGTGTATCAACTTGCTGATGATTTTGCTACATTACTGTAGAATTGGGCTGTAGAATTTGGACCATGACACACAGGGGCACGCCTCTACAACTTTCCTTACTACTCCTTTTCTAAAGGTGTGGTCACTGTGGTGGGTTCTTTAACATGCATGGTGTATAGCTCTCCCAAACACGGGACCTCCATTTAACGTCCTATCCGAGGGACATTCCTAGCCAAAGCTAGGTACTCATTTTTAACTGTGTGAGGTGTGGAGTGAGGAAAGTGTGTAAAGTACCTTTTCCAATAGCACAACATCGGGGCATGCACAACTAGGTGGAATCGAACCCAGGACCCATGGCTTCAGGGCCAAATGCCCTAACTATGCCACACGACACCACATACGCCATACAGGAGGCCAACATACTATCTTATCTTATATGTCTTTAAACTTAAAAACCAAAAGCATGACAGTGGTGCATGATGTCTTGTGGTAGGTACTCCTGGGTAAGTGACAGACTGCTGGAAGACCACTACAGCTGGTCCCCGCGTCCGACCTTAGATGACCTCATCACCATGGAGACGGCAGTGGGGTCCATCAAACCCGGCGGTGCGGACTGGAGGGAGAAGGTTGTGATTGGTCACAACGTCAGCTACGATAGGAGCTACATTAAAGAGCAATATTTCATGAAGGTGAGTTGATTCAAGTGTGTTTGTTAACAGCATCATGTATAACTGTATTAATAATCATTCTTGTCACGTCTTGCAGCTTTTAATCGAAACTTTATTCGCAAAATCATGCCCGAAGGCTGATTGCTTTTACAATCAAGAATAATACTCATTGCAATACAGTAACAGGAGACAGGTAAGAACTGTCTGGAAAAAAACTTCTACTTCTACTACTACGCTTGGCTATTATGGGGTTCGACTTCTTCTTACCTCCATGAAAAACGGAGGTATTGTTTTTGTTACGTCTGTGCGTGTGTGTGTGTGTGTCTGTGTTTCCACATGGCCCATAGGTTAAGTTGTAATGGATATGGGTTCAGTCTGTCCCAGAGGGAGAAAGTCATTAATCACGTCTACGTCTGTTAGCACGCCCTGTTTTATCACTGGTGTTTTTAGTTACATGACCTCCTTGACAGCTGACAGCTATTGTTGTCTCTCCTGTACAACATTTTAGAAGGACTTGTAGATACCATGGCAAATGAGAAGAGGACACAGTCACTATCACACAAGATCTAAATATTTCATGGAGGTCTTAAGTCTTGTTTTACCTGCACTTCCCATACTTTGTACCTCTTATCCCAATATCCTTCAATCTGTCATGAAAGTTCATCTGTGTTGGTAGTTACATGTTATGAGTTCAAACTTTCGATCCAACACAAAAAATTTTCTCACCTAGAGCTTTCGACCAGTCACTTTGGTCTTTCTCAGTAGACTTACCCAGTGAGTAATTGTAATGTGGCTTCTTTGAAGTGTGGCGTCAACACTGGGTCAAAGGTATCTGGTAGACGATGTCGGCCCCCGTCACGGTTCAGTGAAGGGTGATGGGCCCTGATGCACAATGTATATACAAAACAAAGTAGCCTCCGTCACACTTCAAAGAAGCCACGTGACAAGCCTCACTGGGTCAGTCTACTGAGGAAGACCAGAGTGACTGGACAAAAGCTCTAGGTGAACGAATTTTTGGCGACGCCTCAGGGGGGAGCCTAATGGTACAGTATTGTGTGCAGTTTGCAAGAATTCTAGGAATTGTACAGGCATTTTGTCCACAGGCATTTTGTCCATAGGCATGGCATGTCCACAGGAATATTGCTGGCACACTTCTATGGACACATTCCTATGTCGTGAAATTCCAGTGATTCCTTGGGACATTGTACACAGGCGCGGCATGTCCACAGGAATGTATCATTTGTGTTGGATCGAAAGTTTGAACTCTTAACATCCTTCAATCTAACACTGTACTACAGGGTCCTAAGACCAGGTTCCTGGACACCATGAGTCTACACATGGCCATCTCTGGCCTCACCAGCTTCCAGAGAATCCTGTGGCTGGCCAGCAGGGCGGGGAAGAAACAGGGTCTGAAGGACGTCAGGGAGTACACCAGCAAGACAAGGAAACAGTTCAAAGGACAAGGGGTGAGAGCAACAAGCTTTATCAGAGCTTTTTTGTCTGACCGAATGTCATGTCCAAGCAGATCATGTCGTTCAGCAGATTTTGTATCCCTTCTGTGATTCTATTTTGTCAGGCCTCCTAAAAACATAGTAGCATCGTGCCCGTAGCCAGGGGGGTTTCGGGGGCTTTGGAAGAACCCCCCCACAAGGCTCAAAGGTCCACTTTTTGGTCCACGTTTTATGTAAAAGTCCACTTTTTGGTCCACGTTTTATGTAAAGGTCCACTTTTCAGTCCACTTTATATGTAAAGGTCCAAGATTTTTCTTGAAAACTCACTGCCAGTCACACGGTGATGGCTCCCTTTGTCATTGAAGAAAAATTTATCTATGATTTTTTCTTGGAAATCCTCTCAAAAATGCCATTTTAGAAGGTTAATTTTTCAAAATTTTCCGGGGGAGCATGCCCCCAGACCCCCCTAGGAACCTCGAGCCTTCGGTGCTCGCCTTGCGCCTACGGCGCTCGAGGTCCCCTCAAGCAGTGGGAAGAACCCCCCCATTCAAAATCCTGGCTACGGGCATGCATTTGAACACTACAGAATGATGCTTACATGCATACGGTACAAGAAAGCTTGTCGTTCGGTTGTTCGGTGTAATATAGCCAGCTGCCGCCATGCCACAAAGCTGGTGTGTTTCAGTTACCAGCTAGACAGATACAGTAAATGTATTGTATATAAATATTGTATTTGTATCATACCCGGGCTGTGATAACCCTCGATAACGGTGTTCTGGACCAGGCCGTACTTTATGGTACCGCTCCATGGCTTCCGTAGAATAATTCAAACGCGTTTTGCCCTAACCGCTTGCTAGCCTCTACCAGGCTTGAGGGCTTGCTAGCCTCTACCAGGCTTCCAGTTTACAGTTTGCCGGCAAACTGTAAACTGGATGGCTAAACTCCCTTGGCGTGTTATCTCTCCATTTGGCCAATTTCTACTATTTCCAGCCGCGCCCTCAAGCCTGGTAGAGGCTAACCGCTTGCACCGCTTTCGAAAATTTGAATACAAATTGCATATTTTGGATTCAGGGATACCAACTTTTCATATGGGTGCGTATGGGAGCGTATTACATAAATGAAATACAACACAGTGTATTCTGCATCACCCTCGGTCCCAGCCCTCCCGCGAGTTGACTCACGGTTGGGCTGGCACCACAGGCGATAAGTCTGTGTGTATTTTATTTACACATCTGTGGAACTCTTACCCTGTACCACAGATTGGAGGCTGGGACTGGCTGAATGTGAGCAGCATCAACAACCTGGGAGACGTCCATGTTTTATACACGGGAGGTCCCAAACTGAAGAAAACTGAGAGGGACGTCTTTGTGAAGGGCACCCTGGAAGATGTCAGAAATCAGTTTCAGGTACTCCTGCAACATCACACGACTTTCCACACTTCACTCAGGTGAAAATGAGTACCTAGCTTCGGCTAGGAACGTCCCTCGGATAGGACGTTAAATGGAGGTCCCGTGTTTGGGAGAGCCACACCCCACGCACGTTAAAGAACCCACCACACTTATCGAAAAGAGTAGGGGACCTTCCCGGTGTGAGTGGTTCAAACATTACAGTCTGGTCTCAGGTTTGACATCTTTGAAAAGGTGATAGTCACCTGTTATGTCAATCCTTCCACAAATGTGGTAAATCTTCATAAATAGATAAATCATGTTCTGTCTTAATGATATGTAAACAGCATTTTATTATGGATTGTATACTATATGATAGTAAACGCACAAAGCTCGAAGTTCAACCTTCTTTTCACTTGCTCAATGGAATTCTTTACATTTCATGCTATACAATAATAATACATGTAGATAAATTCAATTTCCTTAACCCTTACCGTGTACAAATAGGTAAATACATGTATATCAAAGAATATTTTAGACCTTAGAACAAGTAGTATAAGTTGACTCATCTATAGTGACTGTCTTGTACATGTACGTGTCTCTAATGTCACATGATAAGACTAATTAACTACTGACAAAGGTCGAAGAGTGACTGAAAATTCACCCCAGTTTATTTCGCGTTTCTATTCAAAACTGCACACCCTCAAGTCTAGCGACCATTTTGCACAAAAATACCCAACGGTAAGACTCAGAGCCAAAATCAATGTTCACTCCAAAATCACCATTTCTTACATTTCTTAATATTTAATGTTATTTCACGGTAGTTTATGAGAAATGTCATCCCAAACTCGGACCCTCAAAACCCCTTTGTCACTTTTTTACCGCGCACTACCAAGGATCCCGGTCGCAGAAGAACTGGGGTGTGCATTGTAAAGTGTCATACTAACCATGGAATTAAGATACAAGATGTCTTTATTCATTTTCGCAGTGTGTATATGAATTAAAATCAAATTTACATGTAAAAAGAATCTCAATTAAAAACAGTTGCAATAAGTAAGCTATTGTCATAATTATAAAATGTACGCAGTAAGTTGTATAATATACGTAGTACCTATAGAATATACGAAGCCAAGCCAAGAAGAAGAAGATATATACAAACAAGTTAAGATTCCATGTCTGACAAAATTACAAAAGACAGATTGGTACAATATATTTACAGTGCTGATTCCATGCCAAGTCCATGCTGGTTTAGCAAATTGATTAGGTATATTAATTTACCATAAAGAAGATTTCATGCTAATATGACTTCACTGTCCATGTCTACTTTCCAGGAGCTGATGACATATTGTGCCAAAGACGTGCAGGCCACACATGAAATCTTCAGCATGCAGCTGCCCATGTTTCTGGAGAGGTTCCCCCACCCTGTAACACTGGCAGGTAAGATGCACACTGACGTATCTGTAAATTCTACACTCCGTGAATAAGGTCACGTGTCTGTAACTCTTGCAGATTACGTTAGGAAGTGATTGGTCATTTCTTATCTTAATGAAGGCGACAGTGGTCATTAAGAATTTGATTTTTGTGTACCCTTGTGTTGAAATAAAGTTCAACATTGTACTACATGTACCAACACAGATAGCACGTCAGCTGAACATGCTACACCTGCGCAAAACCGGTAAATGCATTATGTACATGTATTGTGCATGGCACTTCAGCAGAAGGTCATACTTACATTGTGTACAAGTCATGTACGTGTTGGCCTCTTCTTCGTGTCCGAAGATACTAGGAAGTCAGTCCTTCATGTGGCTGCAGGCCCTCATGTGGCTGTGTAGCCCAATTCTTGAACCGCAGGTCCTCCGGCAGGACGGGCAGATGAAGGTCACTGCTGCTGTCGGCTGGGTGACTGCAGCCTTTCGTCGCCTTCTCTTTTCCTCTGCTACCTCTTTCCTGGCTTTTTCCCATTTCTCCGCTCCCTCTCTGGTCGCTGCTCTCCAGGCACTTCTGGTCTCGGACCGGAGTTTTTTTTACGATTTTGGATCCGGCGGACACCCTCAGACCGAAGGGCTATAACTCCGCCAAGAAAAGTACGCCGGGAAATCTCATTACATCAGTCAACGGAGGTTTCCAGCCGGCTTCCGATACAATTTTGGTTATTGTCCGTCGACTCTATAATTTGGGTAGAAACTGTACTTAAACGTAAATTTTGGATACGAAAAATGTAGTTTTTTTGCAGTTTTTTCAACGGACCTGCTTGGAAAAAACGAATTTTCCCAGGCTAACGGCTTATATGCTGAAATAGCTTACTATTTCCTGTTTCTGAAAAACAGAAAAAAAATATAGGTTGTTGCGATAAGTTTTCGCAAAATCCGGTGACGCGAACCCCTAGAAATTCCACATAGAACGCACCTATTTGGGTCATCAGGCGACAAACCGCATCACCCTTGCTCGCGGACTAATACCAAAAACGCTTCGCTGGCCGTCCAACTTCACCGCGCCGAAAAACACTACAATCCCAAGGCTTTTTGATCAATTCAAAACCTAGTTGAAAATCTACAGCGATCGCCGAGCTATGGGGAGCCAAACCTAGCGTGACAACCTTGCAGATCCGGCGATTTACTGCGCACTATTTGGAACCCTGGTCAGAATTAAACTCCGACCCGGAACCTTCTGTCGGAGGCCACACCTTCCCAATCTTTTACTGGGATGTCAGCTGCAATTAGTTGGCGCTTAAGTTGGTCCTTTAAGCGCTTCCTGGGGGCTCCCCTGTCTCTCTTGCCCTGACATAGTTCTCCGTAAAAGACGGTTTTGGGCATTCTGGAGTCCTTCATTCGTGCCAGGTGGCCAGCCCATCGGAGCTGCCTCGTCATCAGCATTGCCTCCATGCTCTGAAGGTTTGCTCTCCCAAGAACTTCAGTGTTCGTCACATAGTCCTGCCACTTGATGCCCATGATGCACCGTAGGCATCGTTGGTGGAACCGTTCTAGAAGTTTCACCTGCTTCCGGTACAGGACCCATGTTTCAGCACCGTAAAGGAGAGTGGTGACAACTACTGCTCTGTACACCTGGATCTTTGTCGACAGTCGCAGTGAGTGGTTCTTCCAGACGCGCTTCTGCAGACGCCCGAACGAACTGCTGGCTTTGCCAAGGCGACTGTCCACATCTTTGGCCACTGTGGCGTCGTTAGAGATAACACTACCCAGGTAAGTGAAGTGTTCTACTGTGTTCAAGGGATGGTCTTCAATACTAATCTGTGGATGTACGTAGGTTCCACGTGGTGGTTTTTGGTACATCACCTCCGTCTTCTTCAGGCTGATGGTGAGGCCGAAGGCCTTACATGCTGTCGCGAAGTGACTGACAACCGCCTGCAGAGCTGCCTCTGTGTGTGCCAGAAGTGCACAGTCGTCCGCAAACAGCAGGTCCAGGATCAGTTCTTCCAGTGTCTTTGTGTGTGCTAGCAGTCTCCTCAGGTTAAAGACACTGCCATCTGTCCTGAATCTGATGTAGATCCCCTCTGTGAGATCATCCTTGGCCTCTTTCAGCATCATGCTGAAGAAGATAGCGAAGAGCGTGGGGGCAAGAACACACCCTTGCTTGACTCCGTTGGCAATCGGGAACGGCTCAGACAGGTCACCGCCGTGCTTCACCTGGCCCATCTGTCCTTCGTGCAGTTGTTGCACAATGGCAGGGAGCTTCGGTGGACATCCGAGCCTCGACAAGATCTTCCAGAGCCCGTCTCGGCTCACGGTATCGAAGGCTTTGGTCAGATCAATGAACGCCGCGTACAGCCCCATGTTCTGTTCTCTACACTTCTCTTGGATCTGTCGCAGTACAAAGATCATGTCTGTCGTTCCACGATTGGCTCTGAAGCCACACTGGCTCTCTGGTAGATTCTCCTCTGCAATGGTTGGGATGAGTCTGTCCAGAACAACTCTTGCCAGAATCTTTCCTGCAATGGATAGTAGTGTGACTCCCCTGTAGTTGGAGCAGTCCGATTTCTCCCCTTTGTTTTTGTAAAGTGAGACAATAATGGCGTCACGCAGGTCTTGAGGCACCACACCTCTTTCCCAGCAAGTGGCAAACAGTCCAGTGAGTCTCTCAAGGAGTGAGGCCCCGCCAAGTTTGTAGACCTCTGCTGGGACTCCATCTACCCCAGGAGCCTTGTGGCACTTCAGCTTTGAGATGGCTGCTTCCACCTCCTCCTGTGTTGGGGTGTTGTCCAGTTCTGTCCTCACCTCATGCTGTGGGATTCTCATGATGGACTCTTCGAGTACTTGGCGCCTGTCCCCAAAGAGTTTACCGTAGTGTTCAGTCCATCGATGAAGAATGGCTGGTTTATCGGTAAGTAGCTGACTACCATCAGATGATCTCAAGGGGGCCTGTGTCCTCTGGGTAGGGCCGTAGATTGCCCGCAGGGCCTCATAGAAGGCCCGGATGTTACCCGTGTCTGCAAAGTGCTGAGTTCTTTCGGCCATGTTGGTCCACCAGGTATTCTGCATCTCCCGCAGCTTGCATTGTAGAGTGTTGCAAGCTACCTTGTATGATGCTTTTGCTGCCGGATCATCTGGCTTAAATAAGACTTTCTGGTGACAAGAGCGCTTTCTTTGGAGTAAAGCTTCAATTTCAGGGTCATTCTCATCAAACCAGTCCCTATTCTTCCTGGTCGAGTAGCCTACCACTTGTGCTGTTGTTTCCTGAAGAGCTGTTTTCAGCTGCTGCCACTGGCTCTCTGGGTCCTCCTTCTGCCATTGGCCCTCGTCTCTGCTCAGCCGTTCATCCAGCTTGGTCTGGAATTCTTATATACATGAACATGTACATGTACGTACTACATGTATATAAGTCTAACACTCCGTATGTAGTTCCTAACTACATGACTTGTATTGTGACCGAAAATACATTGTCTGCAACAGGCAATATTCTGATGCAACATTGACGAAAAATCCAACGAAAATTGTGAAAAATGTGAAAAGTCAGGAATTCATGCAGGCGCAGTACGTTCTGCTGACGTGCTAACTCAGATGAAGTTCCATGATGAATTGATACATGTACATTCTTCTCCCCAGGAATGTTGGAGATGGGTCAGTGTTACCTGCCTGTGAACAGTAACTGGGAGAGGTACCTGCGAGATGCTGAGGAGACCTTCCAGGACCTGCAGAAGGAGATGAAGCTGTCACTCATGCACCTGGCTAATGACGCCTGCCACCTCATGCATGATAACAGGTTACATTTTTGTTTAGAGTTAAAACTTTTGGTCCAACACAAAAAAGTTCTCTCACCTAGAGCTTTCGACCAGTCACTCTGGTCTTCCTCAGCCCCCGTCGCGGTTGAATGAAGGGTGATGGGCCCTGAATGATGTACATTGTGTATGGCCTCCTTCACCCCTCTCAAGTTCAGTGTCCAAAAGCCGACGATCATCTACCAGATACCTTTGACCCAGTGTTGACGTCACACTTCAAAGAAGCCACCTGACAAGCCTCACTGGGTCAGTCTACTGAGGAAGACCAGAGTGACTGGTCGAAAGCTCTAGGTGAGAGAACTTTTTGTGTTGGACCAAAAGTTTTAACTCTAAAAACATGTAACTACCAACACAGATGAACTTTCATGATAGGTTACATTTTTATCTTGAAAATTCATCTTTGTCAGTAGAAAAGTCATTATGAAACTAGTTTGAGCTGCAATTGCCAACACAAAAAATTGGACTCACCCAAATTTTTGACTGTACAACTCCAGTCTTTGTCAAGGAATGAGCAATTCACCACAGATGACACACATGACTCTGTGAGCAGTCTGGATCATACATGTAGGTTGCAGAAAGTCTGTGGCGTCCCCCGTCTCTGTTGAGGAATAGTCGTAATGCCCTGGTGGCCTACTTAATCCCTCATGCGATAAAAGTCTGTTTCTGTGTCCAAGATTCTTACTTTATCCAATGAGACTAAATGTCCAGGTGATTCAATAATTATGTAATATATACATGTATATTATTTAGACTTCATTAAGGTGTGTATACAGTCCAGTCTATAAGGAGTTTTAGTAACAGTGTTCAAGCCAGCATCTGTCTACATAGGATTGTCTGTGCTCAAGGAAACCTTACGCCTTCAGTGCTGAGCGACATCAATAAAGTATTAGATGACAGAAGAAAATATTTGTCGTCATCCATGCAGCTTTAAGGATTAAAAAAAAATGTTAGTCTGGCTATAGAACACTGCAAGTTAGTAGAGCATTATTTAAACAAAACTGATTGATGGTGATGACATGTCTGCTTGAAACTGAATGCACCTACAAATTACACTACAATGGCTAAATGCTTAGGAAAAATCCATATTTCTGTTATCAAATTCAATTTTTCACACCTATCATGTACATGTGTTAGGCCATACCAACTGGTACTAGGATTTTTCAGAAAAAATATGATGAAGCGACAGGGGGAAAAAATAAAAATAAAAAAAGGTCTGGGCATCATATACGTAATTGTAACTAATTACCTTCGCCAAGAAGGTTATGTTTTCAGTGGCGTTCGTGTATGTGTGTGTGTGTGTGTGTGTGTCTGTCTGTCTGTCTGTCTGTAAACACGATAACTTGAGAAGGCCTTGATGGATTGTCTTGATACTTGGTAGGTGGGTAGGTCTTGATGAGACCTCAAAATGATTAGATTTTGGACCCCCTAGCGGCTTGTTATGGTACTGCAGCTGAACTTCCGGTTTTGATATCTCATGATCTAGACATGCTATGGTGATGAAATTTAGATGGTAGGTAGCTCTTGTGCTGGGAAAGAAGTGACGTGAGTTTAGGCCCCCTAGCGGCTTGCTCTGGAACTGCAGGGATAAATTCTTGAAAATATTCAAAAGGGGATAACTCAAGAACCGGTTGACGGATCGTCGTGATTTTTGATATGTAGGTAGCTTACGTGATGCTTAATATAATTATGTGACAATTATGCAAATATGGATGTAATTTGCATAATTTATGGGGAAATTCTATAAATCAGCTGCATTCCATGATAGGACAATTGAAGCTTGTGACATTGGTAATTGACAACGAGAGAAACACAGGATGATGTTGATTATGTTAATAATGACTTAATTTGCATAATTAATGAGAATATTTTATGATTATGTAATGATAACTGCCTGGAATTTCATACTTGTGGTATTTGAAAGTTAAATTGAGGTGAACATCATTAAACATAATTTATTCAAATCAGGACTCATTTGCATAATTTATTAGGAAATGCTAGAATGCATTGTTTGTTAATATAAGACTGTCTTTTGGTTGAGATTATGATAAAATGATATAATGAAAATTAGGTTCCTATTTCTTAAATCAGGGGGAATTTTAAATCAGGGGGAATAATCTAATCTAAACTTTGTCAGTCATAAAGATTAACATCATTTGGCGAAGGTATGAGATCGGGGAACTCTAGTTATAGCTCCAAATGCTACAATACATGTAAGAGCCATGAAGTCAGCACAAAAGGCTTGGTTAATATCTAAACAATGAATTTTGAACTTTTAATCAAACCACTGCATTGATAGATGGAAAAACTGTAACAACTACAAAGAAAAGGACTTTCCTTAACTGTTGGGGGCATTTTTTATTTGATTCAGAATCTTTTTTTTTTTTTTGCAAATCAGAAAAAAATGAAGACTGAGGCAAATCCGAGAACCAACAAATAAACCTTATTTGATATTTTTGTGTTAGATACCAGGAGGACCCTTGGCTGTGGGAGTTGGACTGGTCCACCCAGGAGCTCACACTGAAAAAGGAAGCAGCTGCCAAGAAGAAGAGGGTTAAGGTTGAGAAGACTGATGAAACTGAAAATCAGAATGTTGAACCCGATGGGAAAAGCACAAAGAAAAAGAAGGTAGCCATATATACAGCTTATGCTCTTTTTTCTTCCACAGAATCTGATGTCTTGAAATTATGAATAATAAGTTTTCAGAAAGTAACAATGTTCCTCTAAATAACTTGTGTATTATCAGTGCAAAATACTTCTTTAAGTTTTCTTCATTTTTTCACTTACTTTAGTAATAACCAACTAGTAGGTGTAACTAAAAGTTTTAAAATTAAAGTATAATTTTGTTTCAGTTTCTGTATGAGAAATGAGAAAGAAGCAATGCTTAAAAATTACCCTTTATTTGAACGCTTTCAATACTTAAGAGTCTCTGTACTAGTAACATTGAAGGAAATGATGTAAGCTTGATGCACCTCCTCAATTTGCTTTCTTCATTTTTTTATCAAGTGCTGAACTTCTTCCCACTGTCAAGGCCTGGGTTTGATTCCCGGTGTGAGAACAACTGTAATAACTGTAGGGGCGAGTAGAAACACAAAGCTCTAACTTGAACCAAACACACTAACCGCTAGGCTAAAAGGTCCAAACCTGTTAAACAGGGTTGGTGGTGCTTGAACCCACTGTGACATTTCAAGTGATGTATAGTCAAACCTACCAAGGAGACCACTTCTTCAAACTGGCCACCTGTCCATGGTGACCACTTTTTCTCGGTCCCAAAAATTTTCCCCATTGACACAAGCATTAAGCAACCTGTCCAAGGTGACCACCTGGCCAATGCGACCGTGGCCACCCTGAGTTGGGTCCGCTAAAGGCCTGATACCTGCCCATGGTTGACCACATCATTTTCGATCGTGTTGATTATTGATGATAACTAAAAAGAAATCATATGGAGAAACCAGCCAGTTTGCCTTGACTGCTGGATGATGTTTTTGCTCAAATCAAATTGTTCTATTTGCCACCCTCCTCACATGCATTCACCACAGAACTGAAGATGCTTACAGCATTTGACATTAAAACATCTCTACTTGGAAACCATTTATGCCTCAGTCATGTTGTGAGGCGACCCTCTTCAAGGAGACCACCTGTCCAAGGTGACCGCTTTTCTTTGGTCCCCTGGGTGGACTGGTTTGACTGTATGTTGTTTGGATTGCAGAAGAAGGGAAAGAAAGAAGAAGCAGAGGAGGTTGAGGATCAGGAGGAGACAGAGGAGGATCGGGTGCAGAGAGTGCTGCAGACTGCAGACAGACTACCCAAGATTAAAAGGCACATGCCGGGATATCCTACGTGAGTCTATCATACATGTATGCAGGCTTATGTATGTCTATCATGTAGGCAAATTTGTTAAACACGGCCACCCATGGGACTAAGGAAGTTCTTTTCTAATTGACAGATACAATGTACTTTTTTTTACACAAAAAAGCATGGCAAAGAGACAAGATAGATATTATTTTGTCTCTTATTAAGAAGAAAGCCACAGCAAAATCCATATTACTGTAGACTGCCCAAACTGACCCAGGCAGTGATTGTACATTGCACAAAGACTGCCATGCTGACAAAATTAATGTGTTTCTTGTTTTGGAACAAACTTTAAACTCTGTGGATTCCAACACAGATGAGCTAATTTAAAAGCCTTTCATTCAAATACAAGATGATATTAGTCACCTATCTTGAATTGTGAAGGAAAGATTTAGTGCTGATTTTCTCTCCGTGGTCTGCAATTGGGTTTCTATTATCTTTCATTGCCATTTGCAACATTACCACACAGGTTAACATAACTCTGTATGTTGTCCAGGTGGTACCGAGACTTGTGTCCCAAAATGACCGGCGTCTGGTCTCCCGGACCCAACCTGATCAGCGCCCAGGCGCGCGTCACCCCCAAACTGTTACGTCTGCGCTGGGACGGGTTCCCGCTGCACTACGATGCCGGCCAGGGGTGGGGGTACCTGGTGCCGGGCAGAACAGACAACATGGGCGGGGCAGACGGACAGGACAACGCAGGGAGGAACTTCCCTACCAAGTAAGGCCTTGCTGATTTGACCATATGGATGACATCCTCTGGGAAATCCAAAACTAATGCAATGTGAATTTGAGGGGATTCATTCCTAAGCTAACCGACATCTTGCACACGCAGTCGTCCCTCAGTAAGACATCTGGAGCTGCATAGTTCCCGTTTAGAACTTTTATTCAGCCTGTCACATGACCGGTTTCACCTGTGTGGCTTCTTCAAGTGTACAGAGGCTAAATGACACGTCAAGTAACATGAAGTTCTCACTTATATACCTTTCCAGTGCATTATGCCATGATCAGTTACATGAGTTCGTAGTGCTCTGATCTAGTCATCGGTTCGAGGTGCTCTGACAAAAACTAATGCAAGCGTGTTACTATGAAAGTTTGGCTAAATAAAGTATAATTCCTGATTTACTGCATAACATATATTTTTTTGCAACTAATTTGTATGATTTACAGTATAGTCAAAAACATTTTTTAGAAACTTCATAAATTTTGTATAATCAAATCAACATGGTGTAAGGGGTTGACGGAAAAAAAGCATTTGAAAATAATAAAATAAAATTGAAGGAGATATATATATTATTATTAAATAAAATTTGAATGTGTGTGTGCATGTATGTTTACAATGAGGGCCCACTTAATTTTGGTTTAAATGTACCTTATATTATTATCAAATAACAGTAACTGTTGTTCATATTACATGTTTCAGAGCAGTTTTTGATGTGTACAAGGAGTATTTAAAGCAAAAGAGAGACACTAAGGACAAAGAGCCACTTGATCAAAGGTAACAGTTATCATCCGTGTCCATAATATCACCAGGGTCCATAATATCGCCACCTTGAGAAACAGTGTGCTTAAAGATATTTTTACTGCAACATACTTTTGGTATGCACTCTTGCACACCTCAAGTGTACATACCTAGGGTATGTTGCAGTAAAAATATCTTTAAGCACACTATTTCTCAAGGTGGTGATATTATGGACTATGGTGATATTATGGGCACGGATGTTACATTTACTGTAACAGTTGCACTGTTGCAGTTAGTAGTATTTCATTGAAATCTGTTATTTCATATTTCCAAGTTTCAGTTCAGTTTTTTTGTAGGGAAAGCAGGGAAACTATGGAAAGGAAAATGGAGACTAAAAAGTAATTTTTTTTTAATTCCAACATTTAACACATTAATATAATTTAGACATGATGACAGCACAGTCACTGGAATTTTACAAGTAATTTTCATGCCTCAAACCAATGGAGAAGACAATGGACAAAACTCATTTTCACCTGATTGAGTGAAGTGAGGAAAGTCGTGTCTTTCCAAGGGTACAAGATCCGTTGCGTGGCGGGGTTTGAACCTGGGACCTCTTGGTTCCGAGCCGAGCACTCTGCTGTTCCCCCACATGACCCCACCTAATATTTTTTTAGAAATGGCTTAGTAGAATATTATGTACATTTGTCCAGGTACAGTGGCTGGGCAAACGATGACATGTGGGAGCACATCCTGGATCTATCACAGAAAAGCAAGGGGGAGGGGAATGGGGATGTGGAGGAGGACCCCATCTATGACTCGGTGAGAGACATCATAGTTTTACAACAAAATTTTTTTATAGAACTGTCCCATGTTCTTAGTCAGGTTCATGGTTCCAATTGTGTGGTCTTTTGTTATTGTTATTAGCGCATGATTTGTTTATTTTCCTTGAGCAAATTAGCAATACACACTCAGATGATGATGGGCATTACAACAGTCTCTTTTATTGCACTTATAATGACTGATGATGTATGTGTCCAATTCCTAAAATCTACCTTGCTTGATTTGATAACTTTTTCCCTACCTTGGACCCATCCATGACTTACTTACTTAGACTTAGGGGCTCCCGTGTCTCGTGACGCATGAGGCAGTCAAAGTATCCCAGCTTCCTCTGTCAGCAGCCAGCCTCAAGGCCTCCTTCCAGCTCTTGTTGACTGCTTGGAGGTCCCTCTCCACTGTCTGTTGCCAGTTCATCTTTGGGCATCCCCTCCTTCTCCGTCCTTCTGGGAACCACTGTAGGACTTGGTTGGCTAGTCTGACAGGTGGAAGTCTGACAGCGTGTCCTAACCAGCTGAGCCGGCGTTTGCAAATGATGGAGGACACTGGTTGTTGCTTGACTTGAAGTCCATCCATGCATGCATACAAATTTGTATGGCATACATAGTATATGTGTAGACAACAGCAGAAGAATGGGATTGTTTCACCTGATGATCCCACAGCAGAAGGCTACCTTCCCTAGGGAATGCATTTGTACAATTTTTAAAATTCTTTCAAAGTGATCATAATACTACACACAAATGCCTCTGTCCCTGAGGCATCGCCAAAAAAGCATACATAATGAACTTGACACAACAAAAGTACAGCGACTTTCGTAAGGTCTTAAACATGTACTAGACATACAGAAAAATACAACGAAATAAGCCAAGTACATACTGTTACAAGACAATATATGGATCAACTTCTACTTGTTCTAACGGTCTAAACATTCTTTGATATAATAACTTATTTGTACACAGTAAGGGTTATTACCTTCTAGAATGAAGTTGAATTTATCTATGGCATTAAATGTTACAGTAACAAAATTTGTTGAGCAAGCGGAGAGAAGGTTAAACAGCTTTGAGCGTTTATCGAAATATAGTGGAAAATCCATAATAAAATGTTGTTCGTCTTCAATATCATTGGGACAGAATGGACAACACATAACACATAACACTTGATTTGACTTTTGGCGCCCCCTAGGGATTAAGAGCTTGGAGCAAATTGTGCACCGGCAAAAAACACCCCTGCAGTTCCAACGCAAGCTGCTAGAAACACCAAATTTACGTCACTTCTTCCTTACTTTGACAGCTTGCTACCACATAAAAATCATGACTGTAGCATGTTTAAAACAGGAGATACAAAGCCCGGAAGGTCAGCTGCAGTACCAAAAAGCGTCGCTTGGGGGCGCCAAAAGTCAAATCAAGTGGCCCGCGTACTTTTTCAAAAGAGTAATGTCTCATGAGTATTTGTACCAAGTTTGGTGCTTGTATCACAATTTGAAAGATTATTTCTGATCAGTTATCTGCCCCACTATATGGTTGGTTTTGTCTCCAGAGTGTCCTGTACAGTAATGGAGAGAGTGCACCAGAGTTCCACCGGGGAGTGGGGCCTTACAACGATGTGGACCTGCCCGGTGTGTGGTTCTTCAGACTTCCCCACAAGGTCAGTGCAAATTACATTTTTTTGTACTTCATGAGAAAAGGACAATGTCAGAATAAGACTGAGATGTTTTGGATGTAATCAAATAAAAAGCGGCCTGAACTTGAGCTGCCTAGATGTACAGTTCAAAACCAAGGACAGGCCCTGTTTCTGAGTGTTCAGCACCATGGACAGGCCCTGTTTCTGAGTGTTCAGCACCATGGACAGGCCCTGTTTCTGAGTGTTCAGCACCATGGACAGGCCCTGTTTCTGAGTGTTCAGCACCAAGGACAGGTCCTGTTTCTGAGATTTCAGCAACAGGTTCTGAACTCTCAGAAACAGGGCTTGTCCTTGGTGCTGAACACTCAGAAACAGGGCCTGTCCAGCAGTTTTCCAGCAGTGTAAATAGTTTTAATCATCACCAGTATTATAAATATCAAAGATGTCTGCTTTCAGGATGGAGCCAAGTTCAAGGTGGGGAACCCGTTAGCGAAGGACTACCTGAACAAGATGGAGGACGGCACGCTGACGGCCGCGGCGGGAGGGCCCGCCAACAGGACGCTGGAGGTCAACAAGATGGTGTCCTTCTGGCGGAACGCGCGAGACAGGGTCACCTCACAGATGGTGGTGTGGCTCAAGAAGAAGGAGTTACCTCGTATCGTCTCAAGGTGAACACATCTTTTTTTTTCTATTTTTGGCGACACCTCAGGGGGGAGCCTAATGGTGCAGTATTGTGTGCAGTTTGCAAGAATTCTAGGAATTGTACAGGCATTTTTTCCACAGGAATGGAATGTCCACAGGAATGTCTCACATCTCTGGGATTTTGCCGACACACATCTATGCCCACATTCCTAGGTAGTGAAATTCCAGGAAACCCTTGGGACATTGTGGAAATTGTACAGATTCACAACTGAGCAGACACATGCTGATTCACATCCCTGTCCACTCCCATGCAGCATTATCTAGCTCATATGGCTCCCATGGTGTTTAAGAAGTAAGCAGTTAGCTGTTGAGTTATCTGAATTATTTTCTGTTATTTTTATCTAGGGTTGCCCAGCTCTGTGGTTAACTCTGCTTCACAGTTAGGCCCTGATGTGTGTCATGCATATTAAATAAAACAAGTAGAATACATACAGCCACACACAAACAATAAAATTAAGATGCAATAAATAATAATAATAAAATTTTGATAATGGTAATGATAATAAGAAAAGAACAGTTTTACTGTATAGTAACAAAATGATAACAATTATATATTATTAATTATATATATGTGTATGTATGATTTTCAATCATGAAGACAAAAGTAAAGTAACAGAAATGTTCAAACTCTGTTACAAAATGGTTATTTTATTGAGTTGGTTATCATGATAATAAATCTGAGAAGCATAATTAAATTATCTCTCAATTAGTCCATCACATCACTGTCAACCTAAATGAAAAATTACTATTATTTTTTAATTTTCCAAAAAGGATTTCATCAGGTACATGAAAGATAGGATATTGGGATTTTTCTTTTACACAACCGGCAATACATGTATCTCTCATCTTGCTTACGTTTCAATGCCTGTCAGACATCTTTTTTCAGAGCTTCTTACTGGAGTACTGCTTCTCGCTGCTATACATTTGTATGTAGCTGATGTCAATGCATTTGCCACGAGAACACAATCCTAAACGTGGCTTACAAATGTAAGTTTGTATGCCTGGTTCTTCATGGTTGACTTATTATTGTGTTTTCGTGGCAAAAGCACAACCTGTACATACATGTATAGCATTGAGAGGCAGTACTCAAGTCAGAAGTTCTGAGGAAGTAGTCTGACAGACATGGAAACATATTAAACAGAAGTGAGACATTACTGGTTGTGTAAAAGAAAATCTCAATATTATTATTATCCTAATGTTCATTTTGTTTGAAGTCTTAGACTATTTTTGCCACTTGACCTATACCATGTAATTTTTGTGATTGTTACTTATTATAATCATAATTTTTGCTTGAAGTGTTAATGATTATGAAACAAGTCATCATGTTTATCATTGACAGAAACTCAGACTATGAAGAGGAGGGTTTATATGGAGCGATCATTCCCAGAGTCATCACAGCGGGAACAGTCACACGCAGGGCCGTGGAACCAACATGGCTGACAGCAAGTAATGCCAGGGTAAGCACTGGTAATTGTCACTAATTTTACACAAGGATGAGGAACACAATCATCATGTTGTCAGCGTCAGGCAGCAACCAAGAAGTTGTAATGTGTGTTATACGAGCGATTGCCAATGACATCATGGCCAGCTAGTGGTAGGCAAAAAGCGGGTGACATTTGGATTTGCCTACCAATAATTTGCACATGCCTTGCATGCACAGGAATGAAAAAAAACAGCAAATTATTGGTCATATACGTATACTTGTTAATAATCCCCCTGCCGCTCAACCCCATAATAACCAGCACAAATTTGTTTCCAAACTGCCATTATGATATTTGTGTGATTGTAATTAACTTCAACACATGTGTGCAATTATTCCACATTTCTGACATGTACTAAGTATTATTGAGTCACTGAATCAGCCCACATGAGGCACACTCAGTTTGTGGTGCCACCAGGGTTGCCAAATTACCAGAATGTACAGTAAACATGGCTGACAGCTGTATACATGTGTTCTAAGCTTTTAAAAAACTCGTAAGGCATCCTATTTTGGCACCTAAGCTTCCTGAATGGCACTTTATTAGTCGTATTATTACTTTGTAAAGAAATAACTGGGAGATGTTTTGTGGTATTGTCCTAATGTTACATACATCTGTATCTGTATACAGATTCTGTATAGCCATGCAGTATAACCGCCTTTTGGCGTAACACACCATCTTCACAGGCACGCGGCGCGGCGGCAGCTGGCTATGTTACACCGATTGACTTGTTACACCTAACCCTTGAACATCTAACTCTAGACATTGTTTAAAGCTATCTAATGACAATGCTCCTACTGTACTTGATGACAGTGAGTTCCACTCTGCGATAGTTCTAGGAAAGAATGAATTCTTGAACACCTCAATCCTTGGTTGATAACTCTGGTACTTGAAGGCATGGTTATTTCTTGGTCTCTTCTGGGCTGGTATTAGGTATTTAGTAGTTGGTACGTCCACCAGTGCTCATACATGTGCATGTACTGGTAATGAAGCTTTAAGAAGAATACTGCAGAATTCAGTTGTTTGTTGTTCTCCCAGCCTGACAGAGTAGGTAGTGAGCTGAAGGCCATCATACAGGCTCCACCTGGTTACCACTTCATCGGTGCAGACGTGGACTCACAGGAGCTGTGGATCGCTGCCATTCTGGGGGACGCAAACTTTGCAGGGTTCCATGGTAATCAAAGTCTGTATTTTTATATTAACTTTAAGGATGTTTGCTGTGACATTTGCTACCTGTACAAGTCATGCATACATGTACAGTAAGTCATTAAAATCTTATCCAAAACTTCGAAGTAAGGACCCTAATAAAAATACTGTAACAGTAAACTAGTAACATTTGCAAAGCAATATTATAATGTTTACCTTCGGACATGGTCTGCTCTGTTAATTCTTACTCAAACACATTCAAATGCATGTACTACATTGTACTAGTATATGGTGACAGGAGCAGAGCAGACCATGAATATGCAACATTATGTAACCCAACACCAGTTACCATGGTGACAGACATCAACAAATCAGGACATTGGTCAGGTCAGAGGTCACTGGAGAAGAAGAAGAGGAAGAAACTGAGAAAAAACAATATATTTCCTTCGGTAAACATAAATATTTTGCTTCAAGTTGGGTGTGCATGTTCACCATCTACAATGTAGTAGACATAATTTCACAGATTCACACATTATACTACTGTGCAAGATATTTTCCTAAAAAAGGTCAAACCTACAATGTACGAAGTGCATGGATAATGTACTTTACAACTACTAACTGTAATCCAGGATTTGTGCATTACTTGTTTGCCTCTGCAGGCTGCACTTCTTTTGGCTGGATGACCCTCCAGGGGAAGAAGAGCAGTGGAACAGACCTGCACAGTAAGACAGCCTCCACCATCGGGATAAGTAGAGACCATGCAAAGGTATGGAATACTTCTCTACAAAACATGTAATGTCTACAAAGTTAATTCTGCTAAGGTCACATGTAACCACCACCTGAAAAACTGTTACTGTTTGTATTTAAACAGATCCCCCTATCCAGAATGCACTCTTGCATGTCTTACAAATGTAACTCATAAAGAAATACATACACAATGTAGTGCTCTCTCAAACACTTCTTCTTAATAATATCCAATTTTAACATCATTTTTCCCCTTAGCTTAACTGGGGGTTAGATGTGCTTGCATCAAGTGCAAGTCTTTTTTGAAGCAAGATTTTTTACAGCTGTATGCCCTTCCTAACGCCAACCCAAATCCTAGTAGGGCCCAGGATCCCTAAACTGAGGGGGTAAATACAACATGTACATGTACGTGTTATAAGTGCCTTTCCAAGGGCACAACGTCTGGGTCCAACCCTGGGGATTGAACCTGGGTCCTTTTGCTTGACAGTCAGATGCTCTATCCACTACACCACACAGTTTTTCAAAATGGTCATTCAAAATGTATGTGACCAGGATGTTAAATGTTAACAGATCTGGTTAATCATCAGAGGTTAATAATTATGCAATTCATAATATAATTTACTTTGTAGTTGACTTTATTTATAAATTATGACAAACTTATTGAATTGAATTTGTACGTACTAAGTTATATTGTATTTTGATATGTCTTGTATTTATGCACTTATGTGTCAGTGGTAGCCGCTACCAGCCTTGTTGCTGCCTGGTTGCCACTTGTTATGCACTGTTGCATTTAAATAAACAAACAAACAAACAAACAAACAAACTTTTATGCAATAATTTAAAAAAAAGCATGGCAGCCGCATGTACCTGTATCAGATCTGCCTGTCTTAACATGTTGCCCATGTTTCCCTTTTGTCCAGGTCTTTAACTATGGCCGCATCTACGGAGCTGGGCAGCCGTTTGCTGAGAGGCTGCTGCTACAGTTCAACCACCGCATGACCCAGGAACAGGCTTCAGAGAAGGCCAAGCAGATGTACGCTGCCACAAAGGGGGTTCGAGAGTAAGTACAATGTACATTTTCACTCAACTACATTACATGTATGTCGTAAAAGTTGTTGCACAGATTTTCAACCCCCTTGGTTATTGATGTCGTATTTCTATAAAATTTATTCCTCTTATTTTGTCCTTTCATTGTTTGTTTTCGTATTACTTGTACTTGCAATTAGCCTTCAGGCAAGAATTTGCAAAAAAACTTTAAAAATGATAATTATTTAATTACTTTTAACAAGAAGGTTATGTTTTCTGTTGTGCCATGGTGGAGTGTCTGTGATCTGGGTCTGTATGTATGTCAACAGCATAACTCTAAGAAGCTGTAGATGGATCTTCATGATATTTGGCAGGTACGTAGCAGTAGTGAAAAGGAAGGTTATTTGTTTGTTTGTTTGTTTGTTTATTTAAATGCAACAGTGCATAACAAGTGGCAACCAGGCAGCAACAAGGCTGGTAGCGGCTACCACTGACACATAAATGCATAAATACAAAGTACAGTATAACTTAAATACAATATCACTTAGTACATACAAATTCAATTCAATATTTACAATAGCAATAAACATACAAAGTACATACAAATTCAATCAATACATAATTAAGCAATACAATATAAGTACAATACAAATCGATAAAAAGATCAAAGTTGAAATGGAACGGTTGGAGGATTTTTATTTACAATTGGTGTTTAGGTAATCAGGATAAGAGGTGGTGTTTGCATTTGGCCTTGAATGTGGAGATGGCCGACCCTGTGACCTCGCTGGGTAAGCGGTTCCACAGTCTGGAGGTGTACAAGAGGAAACTGTCTCTGTAGACGTTTGTTCTGCACCGGGGAATGTGAAGGTGATGAGCGTTCCGCAGTCGTCGCTGGGATTGGCTGGGATCCCCAAGAGGTAGCCAGTACAGTTAACACCAACCTGCAGATTGTGTCTACTTGGTTCAACGACTGGAGTCTCCAGCTGCACCCCGACAAATGCAAAGTTATTTGCATTAAGTCACCACAGAGTAGAGTGCAGCTCCCCCCCATGTTAAGATCGTAAATGGTCTAATATCTGGTATTTTCTGTGGTGCTGCAGTGGGCTGTGTATGTATGTGTGTGTGTGTTTGTATGTTAACAATAGAATCCAAGAAGCTTTGCAGTGATTTGTAATCATCCTTAAGTTTCTTTGTTTGGCTGTCACAGGTATAAACTTTCTGAGGCAGCCCAGCAGGCTTTAGCAGAGCTGGGAGGAACGACACAGTCTGGTACAGAGTGGGTCTCACTGGCTGAAGTTCGCAGCCTGTCCAGGGCTGTCAGGAAGAAGTTGTTTCTGGGTTCAGGTAGGTTCAACATGGAATCAATCCTCCTTTCAGATACCTGCTTGATAATTATAATACATGGTATATCGTGCATCTATTTCAATTGTAGGTGTTATAGCGCACTGAATTATAGCACATTCAGACACATAGAAATAATTCTAATTTTGATGAAAAAAATCTAATTGTAAGTTAAACATTTCACAATCTTTTTTTTTGCTTAGGCCATGTAGATTTGGTTGTAATTATGGATGACAATGAATTTTTGTCAGTTTCCCAAAAAACGGTTTTGACCATAATGTAAATCGTACAAAGCAACTGCAAAATTAGCAAATATGTGCCGAAGATTGCAAAAAATATATATTGGAGAATGGTACTTCCAAAATGTCAACTCCAAAGGAAAAGAAGAAAATGTGAAGAACTGAAAATAAAGATTCTATCATTATGATAACAGTTAAACTTTACGTGACCAACACCAAGTAGATTGGGACTAACTCCAAATTTTCTATCATTCACCTCACCATACTCTGTGTTTAGTCATTTGTTTAACCTTCATGACCACGTAGATTTCATAATAAAGGCACATTTTTTTTGCCAAACATTTTTTTTTAAATATTCGCACGCATCAGTTTTGAGGTTCGCAGAGGATGACATCCATAATTATACCTGCACACTCCCTATTTGGGTATATCATTTACCTTATGCAGTATTTCCTATGCTTATCGCTAGGTGGCGCACGTGTACAAAGCTCTAATCGCAAAGCATCACGGGATATCATGACGTAATGACATTGTTCGCCGCCATTTTCCTTGTGCGTTCGCAGAGGGGTGCACGTTCGTTTCCCTACTCCTTATTTTTTCGGATTTTCTTTCGGCGTTAGGCCCAAAAAGAAGGATAAAACGAAGTCTTCTGCCCACGAGGGCGATTCAGGTAGCCTTTCGGAGGACCAGACGGGTCGTAACGGCAAGAGAAGCGGCCTGTTTCCCAACGCTAGCCAGGAAAATTCCTGGCCGTGGAAAAGACAGGCGTGTCTGCACAAGCCTCCGGACAGGAGGAAGAGGAGTCGGGTGAACGAAAAGTCCCCGCTCCTACAGCTGGAGGTTCGGAGGAAAAAGAGAAGAACTCCAACCTCATTCCGCCGTTTGGGAGCGAAATGCCCCTTCGGCGTTGGCACCGGGAACATCCGCCACTTGGGAGCGAAATGCCCCTTCGGCGTTGGCACCGGGAACATCGGTGAAGGAAGGAGACGGCGCGGAGCTGCCGCCGCCCCGGCCTAAATTTCCTCCGGGCTCGGAGGAGTTGGGCTCCCCGACCGTGCCGAAGCTTGGTGGGGTAAAGTCTCCTCCACCCCCACCTCCATCAGAAACACCCTTCCCGCCTGGATTCGACGCTGCCTCTTTTCTTCAGTGGATCAGTTCCAGCTTGGGACTTCCTCAGGCGTCCAGTTCATCCCGTCAACCTCGGGACGTTGACGGGGCGGTAGCGTCGACCAGCCGAGCCGGTGTAGTCGGTTTCGGGCGAGAGCATCCAGGTTCTGAAGTGGAAGAGTGTTCGGAGGAGGGAAAAAATCACCTTTTTCTGACTCTGACGAAGGTAATTCCTTGTCGTTTGATAATCCCTACGATAATAACTTCAAATAAGTATTTGGAGGAACCGGTGGGCAAATCGGTCTTGAAGACATGTTTCATATCTTGTTTCATGTCCTTGCCACACATTTCACGTCTATACTGAGTCATAGTAGAGGAAGCTGATCCCAAAAAACACCAAAGACGATTCTATTGCTTTGCAAACAGCATCCGGTTTAGAGGATGGTCTGGACCCTTAACTGCTGCCAACAACTCTACTAAAAGGTTAGCAGCCATGAGCATCTTATCCTGGCAATCACTAAAATTCTTAATCAGT